TAAAATCAGAATCATAAGCAGTTTCGTGATCTACAGCACTGCAAATTTTGCTTCCAACGCTTTGCCCCACCCCATAAAGGGTGTTTTTTGTTTCAGAATCTTAGTATTTTTCAAAAAAAACACATCTGCCTTGTAAAATTGGTGTCAAAATATAATCCTTTTCGAAATTTTGAAATTTCGAGGATTTGTTGGGGTTTCGTGCGTTTGTATAAAGAGAAAGCCTGCCAAAATCCAGGAATTTTCATGAAAAACCCATGCATAAATTATGACGAAATATGGAATGGAATAGCGTTGAGCTGATCATGACAGAAACATGGGTTGCATCATTTGATAATTTTCTGGAGTTTTTTGATCAAATTGCAGGGCGATTACAGACTTTTAAAAGGAATTGAAATGTGTAAAATGCTCCTAAAATCAAGAGCTTTGCTTCGCGGGATTTGCCGCTTGTTTGAAAAGCAAAGTTAATGTTGAATCGACCTAGAATGGCCCAAGAAGAAGAAAGTCATGGGTTTGCTTCGCTTTTTTGACCATTTTCAGGTGCATAAGCCAAAGGGGATTCAGATCGAACCGCCCGCGATCAAGAGACGCTATAACGTGCTGCGTATTGTTTGAGAGTGTGTGACATAAGGATCGCTTTTCGAAACAGTAATACGACTGAGCAGCTCTTTTGAAAATTTGAAAGAGGTGCGGTCGTTGCAGTTTTGCATAGAACACTTCAAAGTGTTTGTCTAGCTTTATTTTGAACGCTTTTAGGATGGGTCTCAAACACGGCACGAGTTTTCTGACCTGACTAATACATCACAAATGAAATTTTGCCAAAATGTGAATCTGATTAATTTTACAAGCATAAGAGGCACCTTTTTTGACCTTTTAAGCGAGCCGCTCAGTCGCTTCGCTGTGCTTCCGAAAACGATCATGCCACACTTCTCTTAGTCAATACAGCACTGTATGTAATGGTCTCAAATCCTCGTGTTCCTGAATTCACGATTAAAATACCCTGCGTTTTGTACTCATGAAACTAGGGTACAATAGAAGATACTCTAGGTGTTTATCTTTGTATATGGTGCAATACATATTTGTCCAAAATTATTACTAGACTCTTATCCGATGCCAATTATAAAATACAGTTAGGTATAGTTGTAGTAATTATATATGCTATATACTTTATGAAGAAGTGTTTTGAATCTGTGACAAGTATGAAAAGGAATTTTTCATGTTTCTAAGCTGACCATTATTGAACTTGTATCTTTTGATGTAAGTATTCATAATACTTTTTATAGCTGTCTGAATTTCAAATACTTTTCCACTAGTACACACCTTCTCGTTCATGTTTAACGCCTTTTTCACTGCTAATTTCATATGGCTTGATTGTATTTAAATCCGATAGCAGCGTTTCGAAGTTTAGAGTTGATGTATATTTTTCACATCATATTACCTACATTTGCATTTTTACAAAGAGAATTTGTTCTAGCCTATATGTATCAAGTTTAGCAAAATTATTCCACTTGGAAATTCTGTTTGATATGAGTTTTTCGTACGTGTATATGCTACTAGTCTTTGAGAATTATTCGCCAAAAGGGATGCGGTGCAGGAGGAACCAAAGCGCTGCCGCCTGTATCCGCAGGATATAATTAGGAGTGCGAGCGCTGTGGAGAATATTTTGGCGAGGATCCAGGAAAACTTGGCGAGGACATTTATCGTAACCCCTTTAACACATCTTGAAATTAACTTTTAAAGATTTGAAGGACAGATTTGGAATCAGTATTAAAGTGCGCATTTTTCAGCTTTATGAATCAGTATTGAAATGCGCATTTTTCAGCTATAAGCCTACCGGATAAATAAACAATCTGTCTCTCTACTCGAGTTCTGTTTTTGCCAAATCTTAGCCTTCAAAATTCACCATAGAAAGGTGAAACATTTTAAGTTCAATGTTGGTGAAAGATTTTAAGCGAATTTTCAAGATTCTGGACTCCAAGTTGAAAGTAGGGAGTGCTAATCAGGAAATAATGTCAACTAGGTTGCATGTGATGCAACTTTTGCTATTGTGTATACAACCTTGAAAGGACTACCGATTAAGGATTATTGTTTCAATAGCGTATCCTATAAGATCTATAGTGTCCGAATTTACAATTAGAAAGGTTTGAAATTATGAGACAATCTGCCTAATGCATCTTGACACAAGCTTCCAGATGTCTTTTCATCACATTTCAATTACTTTGGTTGAATAACTCAAAAGGCAAACTACTCCTTTACCAAAGAACGAATTTTGAATGAAAATCCCGCTCTTCAGCACTTGAAAATTCAAAATTCATAAAAAGTTTTATCAAGGAAGTTGGCTTTTCTTACCATTACAATTCCCAATTATCACTTACTTTTAAACCCAGTGGATGCGCCTTCAGTCTGCATTACAAATCTGTTTTTGAAAATTTTCAAAGTCATCTCCACGCTATGTTATGAAGATTTGTTCCTAAAGGATGTCCTTCCCAAGTTTTCTTGGATCCTCGCCAAAATATTCTCCACAGCGCTCGCGCTTCTAGTTACCTCCTGCGGATACAGGTGGCAGCCCTTTGGTTCCTCCTGCACCACCCCCGCCAAAAGCGCCCTTTGAAAGCTATTTTTATATTGGATTTATTGATGATTTTATATTGACTTGGTTTGTGATTTATGAATATCGTCAATTTTTATTTTTATTTTTTATCACATTTATAGACTTAAAGGTTTTTCTCCCATCTTAGCATAAAACCTACCTATACGGAATACTAATTGGAGTCAACTTCGTGTTTCTTTGTTGAATTTTGCCTAGAATTATGGTTAGATATGTCATTATCGCTCTATAATGAATGATTGCAGTGGGTGGGTTGACAGTTGATGCAAGATTTTTGGAGTTCATTCTAATTAAAGTAACTTTTTCTATGGCATTCCTATTAAACGTAGCTAGAATTGTTGCTAGCAGTTCTCTGGCTATATTATAAATACCCTAAAATGTCACAGATAAGAGCGGTTTGATTTACCGGTGAAAAATGAATTGGAATGAAATTGAAATTGAATGCAGTCACCGCTCTAACTTGATGGATGGATAAATGAAAATCGAAGAAGAAGTTTAGAAGAATCTCCGCCCCTCAACTCTAAACCCCGCCCACTTAATAAACAATTCATATAGAAATTCCGAAATTCCGTTAAAATCGCTATTTTTCTATATGAATTGTTTATTAAGTAGGCGGGGTTTAGTGTTGAGGGGCGAAGCTTCTTCTAAACTTCTTCTCCAATTTTTATTTATCCATCCATCAAGTTAGAGGGGTGACTGCATTCAATTTCAATTTCATTGCAATTCATTTTTCACCGGTAAATTAAACCGCCCTTATCTATGGGATTTTAGGGGACTTCTAAATGACTATAGCTAGTACAAAGAAGATTCTAGCTCGAACACTAGCAGAAATGTCTTATAGGAGAAGTGAATTCTATCTTGAGAAAGCATAACTTACTTAAAAACTTTTAGCCAGCTATGCTCATTGTATAGCCGATGGTCGGCAGTGCAATAAAGTTTGGAACTTGCAGGATTTTTGAGGAAAGTAAAATTTGAAATTATTTACTTTCCTGGTCATTTGGAGGAGACAAAAGTTTGCGTCATTTTTTATGTTTTTTAATTTTCAAAACCAGGGAAAACCCCGTTTTCATAACACTGAATGTACTTTAGCACTCCAGTACTAGCACTTGCGCGGTTTCAGGTCCATTTTTTCCATTCGCAGGCCACGGTAGAGGACGTCACACCAGGTCTTAGGTCCTACACCGATGGCTTCTCGTGGATTAATTAGGAGGTGACCCAAAGCCAAAATTGGCTCTCCATATAAAACATAAACCAATCTGGAGAGCGACAAACGCTGATTCCAAAACTGTTTCCTTATTTGCAAAGCACATTTAAACGCTGAGTTATGAGTATTTTCTGAAGAGCAATCAATGGTTATGTTTCCAGCGCTCACATGAAGAAGTGTTGAGTACAAGTGTTTGAGACAATTTGATTTTTCACGCATAGAGTGCTCTGTATCCAACGTTAAACCATTTGCGCGATCTTGGACGAGTCTGCTCCTGTCGTGTTCAATTTTTGGAGCCAGGAAACACTCACAACTCAGCGCCTACATGTGCTTGCAAAAAGCAAAGACAGTTTTTGAATTAGCATTCAATGCTCTTTAGATTGTTGTATATCTCTCGTAAAAAGCCGATTTCAACTTTGGGTCCTCCTCTTGCGAGCAGTAATCGAAGGAACATAGAGCCTGGACGCTGCCTCTAAGCCTGCTAGCTTGTCCCCTGTACAGAGCTTCAATCTCCATAACCGAAAAACGCAAAACAAGCAACAAAGCAATGAGGGTTTGGATCAGAAAAAGCGAAGACAACAAAATCGTTATCAGCGCGGTCACGTTTTCTGCCAGACTCCTTAGCTACCAACTCGAACCCAACAAAAAATAAAAAAATCGGTTTTGGTGCTTACCAAATGATGGGTTTAGACGAGTAGTCTTAAAATGGTTTATTCACACGTGACGTAGAGATTTAGACAGATCTCGAGGTGTCCCGGTATGAACCGGGGAGGAATCTCTAATACATTTGGAGGCTCCTCCTATAAGAAGGAAAGCGGAGCTGAACCGAGTACAAGATACAATATACACGTGTTTGAATGGAGATGCCGTCGGTAGGCTCCTGACGCACGCTTATCACTCACTCTTTAGATACTCGAAAGTGAGTAACTCACAGTTTAGCCTACGGGGATTCTGTATGCCTTCTAGAACATAGAGTTCATCAATGGTTGATGATACAGAAATCATCAGGGATCGGTCGAGGCGCCAAAAATCAATGATTAGTATACGTTAACGAGATTACTTTACAGCACCACTTCGCTCCAGAGCGTGTACGCCAAAGTTTTGTTCCGATTTATTCAAGAGTGTGATTTTCTATTAGAATTACTTATAAAAAATTACTTTGTTTTCTCAAGACCATTCAGTCATTTTTAGGGTGAAGCATGGGTAAGGGACGGGTGGTTAACAAATAGTCATTGGAATCCGCAACGAGATTTTATGTTTCACGGCTTGAAGGAAAAAGATAAAAAGCGTTTTGTCGCTACTCAGAAAAAGTAAGTTTCAAAGATAATTATGGTAAGCCACAAGACTCTATTTACAGTGTTGTTGATGGACCTTGGTTCTATCCTTGGTTTGACACACTCAGGGCACCATTGAATCTTAACAAATGTAAAGGGGGTAAGAATCTAGATTTGATTTGGTGTATATTTTTTTGTATATCAAAATTTCATTTTGCGCATGTTATTAGGTAAGTAATTCTTGCATCAAACATGCAATAACCACATTGTCATATTCTCTTAACATCCTGGATAAATACATGGGTATCCTTCGATAGAGCAAAGTACCTTTACAACATATTGCTCAGAGATTTGTCCACATTTAATCTACGCGAAGCTTGAATGGGAAGACAAAGTAAATCTAAGGACAGAAGAACTGAGTGAAAGTGGGAACTTTGTCCAAAACAACTGCTATAAAAATCTTTCACGCATGTTCATTCCACAACAGATATTTCTGTACAGACCTGTCTTAATTTTTTTGTTAGAAACTGAAAAAAATGAAATTTTCAAGTTACAAACAAGTAATTCTAAGCTGTTACAAGAGCTATAATAGTTTGAGAAATGCCAAGTAAATAATTAATAAGTAGTAAATCCCTTTCCTCATCCTCTCTTTCAGCAAAACAAAGAAATTTACTATTTCTTGAAAACTAAGCCTTTTATGCACGAAAGCAAGTTCTTACTTTTAATGGTCGGAGTATAAGTGCGAGAACAACTTACATTAGCAATGCTTTGCCAAAAACTTTAAAATTTTCACTCGCTCTAGGAAAAGTGCAAAAAATATATGTAACTAAAGATGTGGAGTGTGTATGCTTGAGCATGCTGAATTGTCGCAGCATCTTTTTGCACAAAGTTTCTATTTTCACTCATTCTTTGGGTAGTTGGGTCTTTGCAGATTTGCCTTCGGACTGCGCGTGCCAAAGTCGATGGAAATCCCCGAAAACCATCTTGTAGGGCATCCCTTGCTCTATCGAAGGTTATGCATTAGCCTAACATAAGGAAGAAGAAGAAAAGGTGCATTGAATGTTGTCTGGACTGATGTATATGATAAAAAAAAATTATAATGCAGTGTTCTATTACGATTTTCGAACGGACCAAACCTGAAATTTGGTCGCTCCAAGAAATATTAGGTCGTTCCGAAAGTTCTTTCCTTTTTTTCAACATGTCATAAAAACACGTGGAACCAAGAAAGGGAAACGTTTCAGGCACTGTCCGACGCAACTTTTCTTCCTCTTTTCAACTGTTATATTGGTGTGCCGCTCGCTCTTGCGTAAGTGAGATAATGGCCAAAATTACAAACCCATGGTTTTTACCATGTCCAAATTTGGCAATTTTTCACTATCTTCTTTTTTGACTTTTGGAAAAGCTTTGATGACAGTCGGATAGAGTAAACAAAGTGCAATTTTATGCAATTTTTCGGCATCTATAGCTAGCCTCAAAACATTTTTAGAATTATTTTTTTGATGCTATCACATTCCACTTTTGGGAACGCCAAAAGCCATAGAACATAAAACGGCGCACAACTAAGGTGTCATTCGATGCAGCTTTTTCTCCTCTTTCTGATGAGTGCTTTTTCTTCTAGTTTGTGGGGTCTTTGGCGATAAAATTTCCATAATTCTTGAATTTGACCCCCGCCCCAGCGTAAATACGTAAAATGCAAAATCTTATATTTCGAAGCGGTAAACACTCAGTTACTTTGTAAAGATAGTGTACAATCATAAACGACCTTTGAAAGTTTCAAAAACCGAAGATTTGTTGATGTTCAGAACGTTTGAGTGTTTTGTGACTTCGGAAAAGTGAAGACTTTTGAAAAAGTTATCTAAAAAATAATGAGAAGCCAGCTGAAGTTGCCAAAAAATTGCATTGCACTGCACTTTGTTTACTCTATCCGACTGCTATCAAAGCTTTTCTAAAAGTCAAAGATGTCTTTTGTTAAAAAAAACTTGCCAAAGCTGGACATGGTAAAAACCATAGGTCCGAAATTTCGGCCATTATCTCACTGACCACAAGAGCGAGCGGCACAGGAATACGACAGTTGAAAAGAGGAAGAAAAGTTGCGTCGGACAGTGCCTGATGCTTTTCTTTTTCTTTGTTCCACGTATTTTTATGATATGTTGAAAAAACGGAAAGAACTTTCGGAACGACCTAATATTTTGCGGAAATTTGCCCACGTAGCTGGATTGATGAAAAAAATCATTTAATTGCAAAAGCTTTGTTCTATCCACTAATCATTGAACTTCCTCGAGAGCAGCGGGGAAGAAAATTTTTTTAACTTAGCTAAATTAGCACAAGATGAAAGCAAGGGATCAGAAACATAGTAGAGAATTTTATCAAATGGATTTTGAGGGAAGCAAGAAACTCTGCATCGAAATATACATAAAGCTTTTGCTTATTTTTATTCTAAGGGATTTGCGGATAACTTAAAAAAGAGCGTGAACTTTTGGACAACCCAATATGTGTATCTTTGTCTTAGAATGCTTACAGTCTTCGCAATGGACCTATGCAAATGTAAAATGAAAAAAATAATGCAAATATGTATGCTACGAAAAACCATAGTTCTTGTGGGAATTGTTTGACAACGTAACCAATTCATCTGAAAACACCAATTTAATACTTCCAGTTATAAAAGAGTAATTTGAAAACGCGCCTTATGAGACGGCTTCTCATGAAGCGTGTTCAAAATCTCTAATTGTAAGTTTATGTACCTTTATTCAATGGATTCGATTCTGACTGATTGCAAATTTTTAGCAGCTCCCTCAGAAAACTATTGTTCGCAATCAAGCAATAGAGCAAGGGCCAAAACGCGCGACTAGTTGACGCTTAACCATATGATTAGTATATAGAGCTAATTATTTATGACGCTTAGGGGGAAACTAAAAAATCTTGCTTTTTAGCTTATACAAGCACATGATGGCTACTCGAAAACTAAGAAATTGTTTACTATAGTGAAGGGCATTACTGCATAGCCGTGGCGTACCCAGAATCTCCGCTTAGGGGGGGACAAAAAAATTTTTCCGATGAAGGTGCGTGGCATTAGCCACTCACTCCGAAAAATGTGGGATACTTCCAAAATTTTTCCCGGCCCCCTGACCCCGAAATTTCAGAAAAAGGGCGAATTTTAATAAATAAATTAATTTTTAAGAATTTAAATCAGCCTTGTAAAAAAATTTCGAGGGCGTGTCCCCCCTACGCCCTCGAAATTTTTTTTACAAGACTGATTCAAATTCTTAAAAATTAATTAGTTTATCAAAATTTAATTATTTAATTAAAATTTAATCAATTAATTAATTAAAATTTAATTATTTACAAGTAAAAAGAAGTCCTCTGCACATTACTATGACCCCCCTCCCTCGCTGTGCCACTGCTGCATAGGGAGCAACTACTGGGCAGTTTCAAAAGTTCTGTCAGATTTTCAATTGTTTTGTTTTAATGCAGCTGTTTTCTTAGGTTTTGCAATTATGGCATTGTCATAACCATCGTCTACAAGTACTTCTTCTGTTCTTTCTTGTGTTTACTGATGCTTGGCAAATCACTTTCCAGTGATGAAATTTTGAGCCCCGAAGCAAATTTGCTAAAATGCAATCATGCCCAAGAAAAAATTTCCATGAAGGGAACTTTCGCAGTATTTGCAAAACTAAATATGATATTTTATAATGGTTGAGGGTGTAATGGACTAACATAAGCACGCTTTTTCTCCGACATAGAGAATGCCTTACCTTTTCATTTACTTTTTCAATTTTTTTGAAGATGGGTGACAAACCATTCAACAAACGACAACAATTACATATAGCGACTGGTAATGCATTCAATACTGCATGCGGTAGAGTAAGGGAGGGCAAGTAAAAACCGTCGGCCAATTCGCTTTTTTCGTTTGCGACAGCAAGAAAAAATCAAATATTAGAAAGTCGACACATTTTTGCACGCGAAGGTCTCAAATTATGGGGGTTTTTTTTTAATTTGCTTGCAAAAATATCTACGCAGCAAAGATAACTCGAATTCTCTTAAGCCGCAAAAGAACCTTTGAGGCATAGGCTACTTAATGGTGGTACCCAAATATGTCTGTCCATCATCATATGGAAGCATTAATGAGTCGAACTGGACGGTTATGAAAAAAATCTTGCTCTTTCGCTTGTCTTCCTTGCATGGCATACAGTGCTTGCGCTATCCATAAACTCGCCTAATTCAACAAAATTTAATTTGTTCAAAATTGTTAACTGCGAAAAAAGTTGTAAGATTTTAAATGAAAAAATCGCAAACAATCGAACTTTTAAAGCAGCGTAGTATCATGCCTTGGCTGTTTGAAATCTATTGGGCGAGGACAAAATCCGTGGTTTTTCAGATGTCATAGAACCACGTAGATTTGAAGTGTATTATTCACGCGGTTTCCTTCAAAATTGTTCTATAGTTGACAAACAGAACAGCTCGCAGTGCAAGATGTTGCAATATTTTGGACGTACAACCTTTTCAAACTTTGTAAGATAAACTTCCTTGATTTCCATTTGAGCGACTGCGTTGTGTGTGATCGTATCAAATATCAAGAATCCCAAAACTTAAAAGTTTATGAATTCGAGCAGTTTTCAGAGTAATGCAAAGTTCTAGAAGTCGCTCTTAATTTTTGTTATAGAATTTCTTTGATCTCTCCTATCTTAGCAAGGGCAATTCAAAAATTTAACCGTGTTTTGATGTCTGCTTACAGAAGAATTTGAAAATAAAACAAGGCAAAGACTTCAGAAAACATTACGTCGAAAGCTTTCCAAGTTTACACTGACTCTTGCACAGAAAGTATACATTTCTTGAGAATGAATAATTCAATTGTTATATTATGCCGTACAGGTTGTTATAGATGATATGCTTTATTGCCCGACGTTTCGGCAAGACGCCGTCTTCAAGGGCTGAAAAGGCGTCAATCACACTGATACACAATCTCTGCCGCCAGATATCTCCACCGACTTGCCACTCGATTCGTCCTGAGTGAAAGCAGGGAGTTTGGGGGCGATGGTTCATGTTTGCTATAAATCGAGTTAGAAGCCGTGATCCAAGAAGAATCAGATGCCTGAATAATTGAAAGACTTATATCTTTGTCCAAAACAGGCTTACTGAATTTTCACATGCTCGTGCATATTATACATCCCACATTAGGCATTCGTAGTTGCAAAATTCATGACTTTGCCCTAAAGAATGAAAATTGGAAAAAATTTTTTAGGTGACCTAGAATAAACTAGTGTACAACCATTAGACTCTATGGTATGGAATCATTTCAATTGAGATGGTTGGAGCTTTGGTAATAATGAGATCACAGCTAGTATTTCGTTCCTTCAGCTATTTCATCGAATGCCGACTATAATCCTAGTGGTTGTATTAAACACTATCCATCTCTGTTCAGATTTTTGCGATGCGTATGCGATCGCGACAGTTTGCCCGACGATTGGCAAAGTTAGAGACCTCTTTTCACATTGTACTTGAGGGTTCTACTACTCAACACTAACAAAATCTGACCAATGTCGATTTTGTCAGATCCACTGCTTTCAATGGAGAGTGATTATCTGTCAAATATGACTGGTATGAAGGACTTTTAATCACAACCGACATTGTAATCGAATAAAATTTGCTACCTCACCTGCACAATTATTTTCCTCAAGACTTTTATTCGATTACAGTTTAGAAAAAAGCATTTAAATCTAGTCTTATTAAGGTGAACAGACTTGGAATCATGAAGCAGCGCTGATTACAAGCAAGCAAGCCATTGATTCACATTTAGAACAATGGAGAAGGAGAGTGGAGCTGGAATATCACAAAAAATTACTGTCTGTTCAAAGAATGGCTAATCGTTTGTACACTGCATACTATCGGTTATAAACATGCATATGTCCGAATGCGTGCTTATAACTCATTATCATTCTTGATCGTTGGAATATAGTCTTGCTTTTAGTTGCAAAAACATTTCAGTTGCTCCTACCACGCAAGGCGTAATCGCCAATTTTATCTTGAAAAGTAACAATTACAATGTTCAATGGAATTGTTCGATTTCTGATAAAGCATAAGGTTAAGGCTTCTCGAAAAGTTTGGAAAACTTATTTACCCATTGTCCCTTTTAAAGTAGCTACTACTCCGTACTCTGCGTCTCTGTGAAGGTTAGCGCTGATGTAGTCTGGGTTTATACTGATCCGTAATTTCTGGAACAGTTCCAGACCAACGCTTTGAAAGCGCGCTGTACTAAAACTTTTCCAGAATTCACGGATCAGTATGAACCCACCCTTAGTAGACAATACAAGGGGATTTTAATCGTATCACTGCAAAGCGCGAGTTTGCAAAATTGAAGTTGCGCAACTCCAGCGAGGTAATTGTTTGCTCCACGCAAGCATTGAAAAAGAGCCAAAAGCAGGACGTGCCTCCACTAGCAGTTCGCAGCGCAAATCTATTTAGAAATTAATTTTGAACTTTACCTTGTTTGCAGAAGAAAAACTTTGTATTGTATCAGGGTTTGCTCTTTCCTTTTCATGTTGCTTGGACTTTTCTGAAAGTACAGATAAATCGCGAAATTTGCTTTTGATGAAAACCTTGAGTTGTAGGCTTTGGTAATTTTCTAAGCGCTCGTCTTCCAGACTGCAATGTATACACAACTGCGTCATATGTACCAATTACTTTTATGTCTCTTTGTTCCTCGGAAGGTGCTCGATCAAAAAATAAAAACACTTTTAAATAATTTCGAGACGACCTAAAGTTCAAAAATTGCGAATTTTATGAGTGCGTAGCCAAAGAGATGTACACGATACTTGCCCTTGCAATCAGCATATACAGGGTGGCCCACATGAAATGTGACGCACAAAAGCGTCCGTAACTTTGCTAATACTCAATAAAATTAAAAGCTTCTGTTTTCATCTGATAGACAAGAAAATTCTGTATAAGTCCTCATAGACTACTTCGAAGAAGTCCATCTTCGACTTCAATGACAAAATTTATTCTGCTCGGAGAAATTTTCAAAATGCGCGCAATGGTTTTTGGCAGAAATTTCATCCCAGGCTTTCACTAGGTCTCCTTTAGCAAATCTAATGGCCTGGGTTTGGAAGAGCGGACCTTTTGCTTACATATAGAAAAGGCGGAGAATTTGTGGGTTTGAGAATGTTCGATTGGAAGGCCGAAATTGTCTGATCGTATGTGGCAAATATGAAGTTTGATGGACCGCAAAAAAACCATTTTTTGGTCTATTTCATCTTAGGTTTCAAAGATATTCGTTTTCTCCACATTCTTTTCTCTCGTTGTGCTTGTTCCCTACTTCGGTTCTTACTAAAACATGGTCAAGCTTGAAGGTTTATCAAAGGCAGTCGCCATGACAACGAAAATCGCAATTTTACGAGATTCTGGAAAAAGCATCGAAAGCAAACTTTGGAAGGCTGTGGCACCTTATTGGATCAAGAGAAATACCATAGACGCTTTTGGGAATTTTTAGCATGACTAAATACCAATTTACAGCGAAAAGTAGAAATTGAAGTTGTGTGAAATCCATCGTTTGGACATGGAAAAAATGACATTTGGCCCTCTTGCTCGCCCATCCTTGAACCAACAAACAATCTTTTCTGTCAGCCTGAAAGGAAAAAGTCTGCTCTTCAACCCATGCCATTTGATTTGCCAAAAAGAAGCCCGATGAGAGCTTGGGAGCAGAAACCATCGCGCGCAAATCGAAGAATTTTTGGAAGAGTTTTGAAGGAGAAAAAACGATTTAAAAAGCAGGGACAAATATCTCGAACGTTAGTTCAAAGTTCTTGTACAGAATTCTCTTCTCTTACAGGTGAGGACAAAAGCTTCTGATTTCATTGAGTCCTTGCAAAGTTATAATATTTTTTATGTCACACTTCATGTGAACCACCCCGTAAACATGTCGTTAGGCATCTAAAGAGAACGGAACGTTTTCATCTTAGCTAGAACCTGCAAAACTTCATTTTAACACATTACAGAAGAAGTGGGAGTGAGAAAAGAAGTGACGGGTAGCTTCAAAATCATAAAAAAAATTTCAAAAGGCTTGACTACAACAATGTAACCATATAAATCTGGGAGATTTGCTTAGCTATTGAAAATTTTCTATGGCTTAAAAGATTTCTTGAATTCACCCATCTTGTTAAACCTTGATATTGATGAAGTCTTATGTAGGTTTGTTGTGGTTTTACATTTCGACCAGAACTTTTGATTCCCAAGGCCGTAGAGTTATTATGAAGCATTATCGGCAAAAACCACAATATGCACCGGAAACAAGTGGCAAAAGTGAACAAGTGAGCGACACTTTAGAAGACAAATAGAGGAACTATCGTAAAGAGCTCATGAATAAGCGGCAAAAAATTGACAAAAAAAATTGGCGCTTTGTTGTTCAAACGTAGAGATCTTGCCCTTTTCTTCTCTATCATAAGAGTCGTTCTTAGGCTTAGCTACGCTGTTACCAGGCTGTTGTGTTTTATGAGATAAGTGTTCATTTGAGCGTACATTCCGCTCTTTCCGATGTACAACATCAGCCTAACACTGTATAATGGAAATATCTCTTTTGTTGTTGAATTGGACGTCGGTAGCACAACTGCTCTTAACTCTGTTTTTAGAAATCACTGCCTGGTAACGCTGAGTCTGGCAAAACGAAAGAAGCGTTTGATTATCTTGTTTTTGCAGATGACGCTTCAGTTATCAAGATATCACAACAGCAGACCTACATTGCTCAGTGAAACTGAGCGTGACGACGAAAAAGGGTTCTGACGTGGCAGAAAATCAACAGGTGGGCGAAGTCTTATGGTGAAAACATTCTTCCAGCTTCTGGAGAGATCCTCCCATTTCTGCTAGCAGCCCTAATATCGCCGCCGGCCAGGCGCGAACGCCTGAGTCAAAGCCGAAACCGAGAAGATTGCTTTGGAAGTTACGAGGTTAATTACACATAGTGGAAGACCCGCACATTTGTTGAATACCTTTCCACGTCGAAGCTCTTTTCCACTGTTTTCCCGCTTTTTCGATTTTCGGAATCAGCGAAGGCCCAAGCAAGCAAAAAAGCTCAAAGCTGACTTGCCGGGACACTGCATTCAAACATACAATCGATACAGTTTACATTATTACAAGATTGCTGTAAGTACAAGATATTTTGAATTAAAGCTTGTGTCGCTACAACGTTTACACTCAAAGTTCTGAGCTCTCCAAAGTGGTGATTTTAGCTCGCTGCTAGCTGATCTTACGCTTATCTGGTACGAAAATGAGCACTCCATTGAAACTATCACAAATAATTACCAAATATTCGAAAGCTCTATTGGTTTCGACTCTAGGTCTTCGTGCAGCAAAGACTCATATGCCTTTGAACATGTATTCGATACAGCTTTTCCTTCTTTCTTTTCACTTTCCACTTTTTCTGTTCAAAGTTTAGCCATATTTTAGAAGTTGTTTAAGGATATTTGAAAGGTGTGATGCAGATTAAGCAACTCCGGAGTATACCTGTGCTAACGTCATAAAACGTGCAGTAGCACAACCCTGAAAGCTCTTGAAGCTTCTGCGAGTTGGGACGTGATTGTCGTTGATATTATTTGTGCGAAGTTGTCAAATTCAATTTGATCATAAGAATCAGCTTTTTCTTTTGAAATTTACGTATCGGTGCGCTCTGAACGGCTAGAAAGCTGGTACTTTTCTTAGATAAATGACTTAGAAACCCGACATGTATAATCTGAAACCAGTGCATTGAATATTGTGTTGTTTTGTATTGTAATAGTGTATTTTCTACCTCGTTTCATTGGATTCAAATTACGACAACCGCACTATGGTCTGCCACTTCAGATGGGAGTGACTAGATGTCAAGCTGCGATGCACTGCTAAAACATACTGTTTACTTCCCAACGCCAAGATCGAGATCGCTGGGCATGAGCACGTCGCATTAGGTTGTCCGGAAAAAATGTCGCACCGTGATTTATTATGCAACATCACGGCAGATTGAGCATGTAAGTATACGGGGGTACCAACCGGTAGACCAAAACAAGCTCTACAAAACGAAGCTCGAACCTTCGCGCCAATTCTGATTTGCGTAAAGTATGAGGTCAAATTTCATAAGGCACTAAAGTTTGAAAACGAAAAAATTGTACCGTTCTAAAAATCCTGGGAACCCCTAAGTTGCTCATGCATGGACTTAGTATACCGAACACTCGTATGCACATCTTCGTGGTACTTTCGTGGCTAAAATTGAGAAAACGAACTTAGGCATATTTTTGCCAAGCAATCCTGAGCTTATCTCAAATAGTGATTTTGAATTATAAGACTTTATAAGCATAACCATGAGTTTTCAGCTACAGACAAGCGCTAGTTTCGAGAAGAATCAACTGATTTGCAACAAACCAGTTGATTCTTCAAAAAACGCCACATATTCGCACTTTGACCTATTCTTGTTCGTCATACTGTATCCATGAAAAAAATACCATAAACTACACCAATGAATATCTATGCGGAGAGTACATGCATGCGCAAATTGAAGATCCCTAAAACGTGGACGGAGGTCCGATTTTTTGGGGTAATTGAAAACTTCTACATTTTCGATTCTAATTTTAGATGGAGGGGATTTCCGCGAATATAAACCTCTTGTAGAGTTTTTCTGTGGTCACTCTGTCGCGGTGGGATGCCATGCGACATTATTTTCATACAACCTAATAATTATCATTCTTGAAAAAAGTCTTATTATTTGTTCAGTCAATTAAAAAAAATCCCGCATATATCTCGTGTCAAGCATCGCGTCGTAAGGTGATGATCAATTTCGCGCTGTTTGGACCATATGGATTGTACACCTGCCTCAAGCTCTGCACCTAGACGCCAAAACAGTTTTCACCTATCTTCATGCTTTTCCTGACTCCGCAAAGCACATCAAGAATCATCGTCGCGCATTGAACGAAGACTAGGAGGAAGCTGCGACAGTTGAGCGATGACACCTGCCATTGAAAGTAAACTTTGGAGGCGTCGACTTTGTCGTTCAGTTACCCGACGTCCATTTTACAGCATGAGATCCCATTACTATGATCGACTTGCATTACCTCGTTTTCATACACTG